ACTACGCGCCTTGAAGTTCAAAACAACAATAAAAATATAAAAAATTTAGGGTCCACACAACCCAATTGATCATCTTGGCTGACTAATCTCGATTCGACTCGACCTCCTTATCCTGACTAATCGACCATCCAACAACTATTGCATCCTTAGCAGACTCGGTCGACCCTGTTAAAGCTTCCTCCTGGTCACCCGTGAAATCCTTCATCTAATCTTTGTGATCAGACTCGGCTCACTCCTCTTCCACTCATGGTAGGCTCCCTCAGTTGTCTCGGCCGCAATCTCCTCCTAGAGTTTGATGTCATCATCAAGATCCTAATATGCAGTGTTCCCGACCTTGTACTGCTTTATCAGTTCAGCACGGGCCTTGATCATGGCATCTTCAGCAATAGATTTGTGGCGCTCCTTGTGTTTGACCAACACTTTGTTCTTCTCAGCCAATTCTTTCTTCGTCTTGGACAACGCCCTCTCCGCCTCGACCAGTACCCTCTCTACCTCAACCATTGCCTTTTTTAGTTCGATTGATTCCAACTCAACTTGCCACTACTTGGCGGAACTCTCCTTCACGTTATTCAGTGCCTAGGCCTCCAGGTTTTTCAGACAAGTGTTGGACTTAGTCAACTACTGGATTCATGCATCCTAAGCGACTGTAACTTTCTTCAAATATAGGCTTCCACTTAAAGCCTACATAAAAAGCATATAATTAAGCTCCATATCTTAACAAAAAAGTTAGAAATTAATTACCTGAAGTTGCCGAGTCATTACCCATTCAATCGCAACAATCATCCCTATCTGATTCAATTGGGTCTCATCAATAGGCAGCAAAAATGATTCGGCTAAATGACCCATCCTGGCTACATCAGAATAAACTGAGGCCGTGTTAAGGAGAGTGATCATCACCTTCTAGTCCTCATCAAACTGGACCTCCTTCGATGAGCCGGCTCTGGCCAACGATTATCCAACTGGAGGAGTCGACTCAATTTGCTAAACTTGGACTCTCTTCAGGGTTGACTCCCTCTTCCTCTTGGCTCCACACTATGCAACCACATCACTCGCATTTAATATGTCTACTTTAAGATTCCTCATCAGCCTCTCTGTGATGGCAAACTTCTCAAGTGTTAGTGGATGAAGAAACAAATGCCCGAATAGTATGTGGTTGCTTTGGCGAATCAGCAACATGTGCCACACTTGCTTCAATGAGGGGAATGGGATACCTCTTTGAACAACTTCAGCTCTAGCCCACAAATAACTCGTTCTCAGGCTAGATTCCTTCAAGATCACTCTCTAGTCTCTCTGTTCCTTTGAAATGGCTAGAACTTCCCTCGTCGTCACGTCCAAACTGTCTCCACTCTGTCCGGCTTGGTTGAAGTCAGGATTTGCAAAAGAAAGGGAGAATAAAACTTAGTAATCACAAGTATAGACAAGAATTGGTCTCTCACCCATAGCTGTCCATGTGTAAGGCATCTCGCACCGGCCTCTCTTGCCGAATATGACCTCGCCCTTATAAAGAAGAATCGTTCCTTCCAGTTCTTATCACTCGACCTAAGGTTAGTCACTAAGTGGATTCGGTCATGTCTCAGGGTGATGACATATCTACTCTTCTCTTCGCCGTGCTCCTTCAAGTAATAAGATTGTAGTAACTCATGCAGACCAAACATCACTCGGTTCTGAGCGTACATCACCTCCAAGCACAACAACAGTCTCCACCCATTCAGCACTATTTGTGTCGGTGTGATGATGAAGTGATTCAACACCTCCCAAACAAGTCAAGTTATGGGAAGATGTAAACCATCATGAAACCACAACTCATACCTACTCACCCATCATTTTGCGTCCCAATCAACCTTTTCATAGCGCTTCGGTATTCTGATCTCCACAGAGCTAGGAATATGGTACTGCATCCAAATTCGCCACTAGTCATTCTCCTTGAGTAGAGGCAAGTAGCCGATGGCCAAAATTTAGCTACCTGATCAGCTTGACACTTGTACCGACCCCCCACTGTTTGAAGTATTGCTTTTATAACTATCAAACTCGTCATCTATTTCTTTCCCACTCCTCCCTTGCCTCTCGAAACTGTTGCTACTCAAATCTACAATACTACTCGGCTCAGAGGCGGCCACGTTCAATCCCTTAGGAATTCTGTTAGAGTAAATGTCATAGAGCCAATTAATTATTATAAAATTGACTCTTTATAATGATGTTTATTCATCAATAAAAGGCATTTTCTTCTATATCATGTAAATCATAATTATGTCAATATGTCTTTAGTATTGTAGAACCGTGACAAGGGTATCAAGTGTTTCAAATCTTGATAGTGAGAACCCTATGATCATATATGGTGGCCATTCTAAAAATGTCCATAGCCCTAGTATTATTCTGACAAAGGACACAAATAATACAGTAAGGCTATCATAGTATTAAACGACCCTGCCAAAAGACAGTGACTAATCTCACTTGTCAAGGTTGTTTGCTGACAACCTGGTGCAATGCATGGGTGCTTGCTGGAGGCAAGTTCACTGACAGACCCACCAGAGGATTCCATATGAATGGTAACCCTAGTGTCGATAGAATAGATTCCTAACGAATGGTGGCACGTGATCCTTAGACTTGAAATAAGTGGAGCGCCTTGTGCACCAATTGGTGTAGTTTGATATTAGCCCAACATAATTATATTTAGAGCTATCAATACAGTAGTGATTTGCTGCATCAAGGAATGTATCAAAACTATGGTGGATCAACAAAGGATTCATCACTCCCGGGTACAGGAGAAGTTATCTCACCGTGCAATTCAGTAAATGGCAATGACACCAAATTTGTGGCCATAGTAGGATTAAGTTATTGCTGAATCCAATTTATTATCCGGTCATTGGTCCAGTAATTTAATACAAAGATATCGAGAATAATTGGGTTGACACAATTTCTACACCTCAACCTCGATGAGATAACATATGATGAAAGGATTTTACTGCATGGTAACCATATTGTTGATAGGTAGCTATTTCGCTAAATCTGAATCTATCAAGTGACCATAATGCCTTGTTAAGGCCAATCTTGGCATGTGTGTAGCGAGACGATTCATTAATGTTAATCATGATACTACTTTCTTCCGATATGATGAAGAGCCTACGAGTCACGCATTTAGATGATAATTTAAAAATCAATTTGTGAAAAAGGGTGTTTTTGGCTTTTAGGATGAAATGGTATTTTGGTAATCTCCCAGTGCAATTAAATTTGCTAAGATTGTTGCCTGTACTTAATTTTAATTAAAATTAAAATTAGTAAGATTATATTTAAATATGTGTCCGCATATGTTTAAATGAATTATTATTAATTAAATGTTAATATATATTTTAATTAATTGATTTTAATTATACTAATAATTATATAAAATTAAAATACCATAAAAGAGTGTTTGGTTACAAGGATGGATCAATATGTGAATCCATGGCTATTTCCAATGGTATTAGGGTTTTAATTAAGTGACACTAAGGGTGAGCGGTTTTGGGTACCCTGCATTTAGAATTGGAATCGGAACCGCACAGTGCAAGCTCCCAAAAAGGAACTAAAACCGAAACTTGTCGGTTTCGGTTCTTAAATTCAAGTTTAAAAATTATTGTGTTCTGAGTTGGATGGCAAAGTTTTTTTTCTCAATGGATAAATTAATTAATTGTTTTGAGTGTTTTAACGTATGTTTAAAGGCTTGTTTGTTTTATGTGATTATTTTTAATTCAACTAATTATTTTTAAATTATTATTTTTCTTATGTTCAAATACAAACATTATATTTAAATTTTAGTTCACAAATTTTATTTGTAATTGTAATACTGTGCTATATGGTTTAATTAATTCATTATATATAAATCCAATTAAATAAAAACACATCAATTTCATAGGTAACACTTGGAGAACAATTACATAGTACACAATGTATAAATTACATCCTGATCATCATATCGATAACAAACACTATATTACAAACAGATCATCATACCGATAACAAACAACATTGCACCATTATTACACCTTGATCATTTAATAGTAAATATGTCCCAATAATCGTGGTTGATAGTTCTGGAAGATGACTCATCAGTGTATTCTCACAATAGCAGACACTTCACATATTCATGGTAACATAAAGAAAAAATATAATGGTTAATCAAATTTAAGTAATAAAATGAGTACATGATTCATGTGATATTTAAGAAATAAAATTTTAGAAGTATTTGATCATTATCATTAAGCACTTATATGTGAATAAGAGAAGTCACATTTTAAATAAACTTAATGAGTAGCACATAACAAACAAAATATGTGGGGACGGATCCATAACCCTTTTTATTTCTTTTTTCTTTTTTTTTTTTACACAAGTTTATGTCCCTTTGATTAAAGCAAAATAAATGATGAAGATGGGAATAAGATAAAAATCGCGTATTTATAAAATTAATTTATATTTGTTATCTCTCTCCTATTTGTTAATGCAATATCCTTCCTCATTTATAATTTTAAAAAAAAAAATCACTATTCCAATTAATTTTTTCATATGTAAGAACGGTCCTAAATAGAGAATTCCCAGGTCTATGAAGTTTGCTACCAGAAGCTCATTTTTTGTCTTGCACATTACAAATTTCAAGATGCTCACCTTAATTAGAATGACCATAAATAATTTTACATAAATGTACAGACCAAACTAAAAAAAAAAAAAAAAAAAAAAAAAAAAAAAAACTATATTACCTTGCATGAAATATTGCCAATGAAATGGATTTATCAAGCTGAAAAATATGTCTTATATTGCCAGATTTATGTAGTCTACAAACTGTAATAAATATTTCCAAACAAATTTATATAACTCCATATCTATCGCCCTAATCATTTCTCACTATCAATAAATAACTTGAATGAAATTAGCATAAAAAGACGCTTTTCAAATAAGTCTTATTTGTTACGAAATCATACCTATTGTTTCATGAATGAGACTGCTTAGTCACTTTGCCTCTTCAATACAAGCTACTGAAAATCTTCACATGACAGAGATGACAAATATCTAGTGTTGTAATAAAAACCTTTTCCAAATGCCTCTTTACAACTTACCGATACTTCTGGAATGTGTTTAGTGAGTTTCTCCCCGTTCTCACCTTTCATCATCCAATAAATCTCTTTCAACATCATCATAAATACAAGTCTCTTAAGATATGTTAGATGCTCAATTCCTATTGGAACCTCCTTCAAAAGTGGGCATGGTCCAATCCTAAATTCTTTTAGATTAGGCATTGAACCTTTGTCTATCATCATCCATTTTAATCCTCCAAAGTTCTCAAGATACAATGCTTCAAGCTTCGGAAACCAACCTTCTTTCAAATGCAATTTCTCATCACAATACCTCATATTGATAATGAGCCTCAATAAATTAGGTAAGCCTTGAAGGGCACTTATGGGATCATTATCAGTTGTTCCTGCATAAAACAATTCTATGTTAATTAGTTTTTTAAGTTCAAAAATCCAGAACGGTAGCTTCTTAATATTCCCTTTTAAAAACAAACTTCGAAGACATTCTGGAGGAGAGGCCACAGATGATATATCAAGAATCTCTTCTTCAGATTTAGATTCTACAGCCAAACTTTCAACATTTTCCATATTCTCAACAATAACAAACAGATCCTTCAAATCTCTATTTCCAAGTTTAATGCCCAGCCTCCTCAACAGCCTTAACTGCTTAAGCTCTTCAAGAACTTTAAAATTTGCTTTCACAACTTCTAGGTTGTTGAGGTTTGTTAAAACCCCAAGACCCTTATGTATTTTGGTAATGAATCCGTCCCTACGATATAAAATTAGACAGCGCAATTTTTTTAGATTCTTGATCTCAACCGGCAGCTCAACCACAAAAGAGTACTTCAAATCTAGAGTTTCTAAGTTTATAAGCATGCCTATAGACTTGGGAAATTCTTTTATGTTTGTTCTTCTCAAACTTAAGTAGTGCAAATGAAAGAGCTTTCCCACTCCATCAGGAAGGTATTCCACAGGACAATCTTCAAAATCAAGTATTTTCAAAAGCTTGAAATTGGCAAAAACTGTACTCATGAAAGACCGAGGAAGTTTGTCTACATTGAAAAAACAAATAGAACGAATCTTTGAATCCTTGATTCTTTCTAGAGCATCATTAGTACCTTTATTTACTGAAATACGACGAGTTTTATGACTCAAGTTTTCTTCACTTAGGTCTCGATAGAAACCCAATTCGTTAGTCTTTTTGAGAAGGATCTCATGCATTAGATCATGGACTTTACATGTTCTACCTCGTCCCGAAACCTTTCTCCTTGAAACTTGAACCAAACTTCTGTCAATTAGCTCTGTCAAGTAATCTTCTGCAACTTGTTCAAGCGAGTAGTTTTTGCTATACTGGACAAAACCCTCAGCTATCCATAGGCGTATTAGCCTCCCAAATTTAATTTCAAAACCTTGTGGAAACAAGGCAAAGTACAAGAGGCATGACTTCAGATGGTGAGGGAGATCATAATAACCTTCAGATAAAACTCTGTTGCAACTTCTCAGATGGGGATCGCTCCCTAACTTTGAGCCTAAACCACCAAGTAACTTTTGCCATTCAAAGACAACCTTGTTCTTATTTGACAAAATACCACCTACAGCCACAATTGCCAATGGTAAACCTCCACACTTTGCAAGGATTTCATGAGACAATTTCTCCAGCTCCGTTGGACAAGACATGTTGAAGCCAAACGCTTTTCTACAAAATAGTTCCCATGCCTTATTTGAAGGCAAATGTTCAAGCTCATGGACATTCACAAAAGGAACTGAATGAGCAATAGTCATGTATCTTGTTGTCAGCATTACCCTACTGCCTTTTTTATTATCAAGCAAAGCATAATTAACATCTTCCCAGAAATCATCTTTCCACACGTCATCAAACACAACCATGTAACACTTGTCTTTTAAGAGCGTTCTCAATGCAGTCATCAGATTCGTCTCTTCCGTATCCTCTATCTCTACTGAAGGGTACCCCGTTTGACAATGAACTTCTTGTTTAATTTTCTTTAATAGATCTTTCTTCATGTATTCTTTCCCAATTGTGATCCAAGCCCGACTGTCAAAATGCTTCTTCACAACATCATTATCATAAATTTTCGCAGCAAGAGTGGTCTTGCCTAATCCTCCTTCACCTACCATCGCAATCATTGAGAGATTTGATTTTCCATTCACCAATAAATCAATCAATTTATGTTTAGAAGATTCAATGCCCACAATCTCTGAGTCTTCAATGAATATGGGGCCAACTCGAGAGTCATGTGGTATAACACCTCCTGTACCACTACTTGATCCTTCATCTCTGAAGTTGAAGTTTTGTCTTCTTTGTTTGATATCATCAAGCGACGATTTGATATCTTGGATAGCTGTTGCAACTTCGTGGTGCAATTTCAGTTTCTTTACCAAACGACTTATTTTACAAAGAACACCAAGAAAGCCACTGCCATGAGAAAGTTGTGCCTTCTTCAAAATGTACTCATCTAGGACATCTTCAATATGATAAGCTTCTTCCTTGAGTTGTTTTACCCATGTTTTGACACTATCATTATTTCTTCCTTCTTCTTCAGCTACAGCCTTTGCATCTGCATCCCTAAGGCACGACCTTATGCTTTCCAATTCACTTTTGATGCTTTCAACTTCTTCTCTTGCGTTTCCCAGCAACTTGACTTCTTGGACAAGGGAACTCAAGGTTTCTATAGCAAACTCCACCGTAGCCTCTGCCATATCTCAACCTTTATCTCTTACTGGATTGATGCAATCTAAAAGAATTGATGCCAAGAAAATGAATAATAACATTAAATGTTTTTATTGTGTAGCCAATATTAATAAATGAATTGTTAGATAAAATTAAATGGGTAAGTGCACAAAACATCTTGTCAAAACCTTAGAGCTGACAACAAGAGAAAATTGAATTAATTTTACTAAAGATATAATAAATAATTTATTTTCTTGTAGCTATAATTCTTTGTGACTTTTGAGCATTGATGTTATTGAGTGAAGACGTATCAAGATAACTACAAATAAAATTCAATTTTTTTCTCTTTTCCCACCCGAACAATGGTGTAATGACATTATCTCACCCTCAAACTTTTAAAAGACTATTACTACCCAAACATTAGATTCCTTTAACAGTTTTCCATTAAAAACAATAATATTCAATCAAAACTACCCTTAACTGTTTGAATTAAAAATTTATTTATTATTATATCTCAAGTCAATAGACTCAATTAACCATCTATCACCGTCTCTCCCATCTTTCAAATTCTTCAAAAAGCCTCCATTAATCAAGCAAATCACACACATCTACAAACCAAACACCAATCTTCCACCAATCTTTAAGACATCATGTCGTCATCATCATCATCATCATACTCATAGAATTAAGACCATTTCATCTTTTCTATTTTTTTTCCCCCACATAATAGAGAAAAAGAAAAACAAAAAAATCTATTAACAAACAACACCAACAGAGACATAAAGTGGTGCACTGCAGATCATTACTGTTGAAATAAACATCATCATGGTGGATAGTTTAAATCAAATGGTGTTGAAGTGAAGGCTTGAAATGGCACCGCATTGGAGAGTTAATGCGCTATCATTTTGGGGTTTAGCTGAGTTGGATCCCAACCGTTGATCCAACACTTATCCAATGGCTGAAATCCTACCTACAAGTCAACGGTATAAAAGGAGACAAAAATTAGATTCACACAATTCCTCTTTCAAAGCTTTTCTATTATTGTGTCAGTTGTTCTCTACTAGGGTTTGTGATTGTGTATAAAAATTTGGTTGTAACTTGTGAGGATCTTGAGTGATTAGGCATAAGTCATTCAATAAGGGTGTAATTGCTCTTAGTCTAAGGATTCCGGGCTTGAGTCTTTATAGGGTTCAAGTTACGTGTAGTTTCAGGTTGAAGAGAAAGATTCTTGTTTGAGTTCTTGTAAGAGTTGTAATCGTTGATACATTCTTAATATTAGTGTAGTGAGCTCTCCCATTTCTGGAGCTCAATGTGAACGTAGCTTGCTTAAGTGAACCACGGTAAATCTTAGTGTTCTTGTGTGAAATTCGTTGATTTGTGTGTGTTTGTGAGTTGTTTGATTCTGGATTGTAGTATAACAGTGGTATCAGAGCGATTGGTGACTAGATTTGGGTTATCGGAGTCTCAAACTAGATTTGGAAGATTTCTAGGGTTCTAGGGTTGTAAAAAATTTGGGACTTTCTCAATTTTGGTGGTCCTCATTCTAATTAGGAGTCTATAGATAAAAAAAAAAAAAAAAAAATTGAGTGACTCGTTGTCAATTAGACAAATTAGGGAAAAATCTAGGGTTTACTGAATCTTGGAAAGCCAAGAACAGTTCGTTGTTCTAATCAAACCTAAAAACACCTCACCATGACAAATACTACAACTCGAATGGAGATCACCCAATATTATGGGAAGATCGACTTCGATAGTTGGAAGAAGAAGATGAAGGCACTTCTCTCTCACAATAAGGTTGGTCTTGCACTAGAAAATGATCCCAAGAAGTGGTCTAAAGAGAAATTAAAGAAGAAGGAGGAGATTGACAATGGCATACAACCTGATCGTGATAAATCTCTCAAACAACGTATTGAGGAAGGTAGACAGAATCGAAACTCCTCTTACATTGTGGGGTAAGCTCGAATCCTTGTATGCTCTGCAAGCTGCACTGAATTTAGCATTCCTTAAAAGTGCTTTATTTTCATATAAGATGGATAGCTCTAAAACTATAGAGGACGACTTAGATGAATTTCTAAAAATGACTTTATTCTAAAAGGCACATATCAAGAATTATGAGAGATCAGCCTTGCTATGATATTATTGAACTCATTGACTGATGATTACCAAATAGTCAAGAATGCACTACAGTACTCTGGCACTATACCTATCTTGGACTTAATAATAGCAAGACTTAAAGCTAGGGAGTTAGAATTAAAGGTCCAAAAACGAAATGGTAACAACCTATTTGTGAGGGGTAAGCCTAAACCTAGCCAATTTGGAAAAGGAAATCAATACAATCAGGGGTCCAGAAACAAGAAAAGGGGTAAAGGGAATAATAAACAAAAGGCAGAAACTAGAAAATGCTTTTTCGTAATAAACTTGGTCAACTAAAAAAGAACTATTTTGAATGGATTAAGAAACAAAAACAGGGCAACATAGAGAGTAAGCTAGCCTCCACAAAAAACCTAATAGAAGAACCAGAGATCCTTACAGTGTCCACATCAAACTGTGCTAAGGAGTGGATATTAGACTCAGGCTGCTTCTTCCACATGAGCCCAAATAAAGGCTGGTTTCAGGAGTTTGAAACCTATGAAAATGAAATTTTTTTTATGGGGAACAACTATGCTTGTAAGGTGAAGGGCATAGGCATATAACTCTAAGGCTTAATGGGGGAAAACCGGTAAAATTGACTAAGGTTAGGCTTATCCCCAAGCTAAAAAGGAATCTTATCTCATTGGGAACCTTAGATGAAGTTGATTGTTGCTACAGGGCTAAGAATGGGAGGCTGAATGTGTATAGAAACCAAAACTTAGTTCTAAAAGGAGAAAAACGGAATGGTCATTATATCTTATGTGGTGATTTCTACTCTTAATTTTTTAACACTGCTTTATTCTCTACTAACCTGTCTGTGACTGAAAAATGGCACCTCAGAATGGGTCATATGAGTCAGAAAGGGATAAACATCCTCAGTAACCAGGGAATGTTTGGTAAGGATTTATTTCCACCTTAGAATTCAGTGAAAATTATGTCTTAGGTAAGCAACATAGAGTGAGTTTCTCAAAGGGAACTCACTTAGCCACTACCTGCCTAGAATATCTTTATTCTGACATGTGGGGACCTAAGAAGATCAGGTCCCATGGTGGTAACAACTATTTCCTATCTATTGTGGATGATTATAATAGGAAAGTGTGGGTCTATCTTCCAAAAACTAAGGACCAAGCCCTGTTTAGGTTTAGAGAATGGAAACTATCTGTAGAAAACCAGTTAAACAAGAGAGTAAAAGCCTTAAAGACTAACAATGGGTTAGCGTTTTGCAATGCTGAATTTGACAAATTTTGTAGTTAGCAAGGTATCCTAAGGCACAAGACAGTAAGAAAAACTCATCAACAAAATATGATTGCTGAGAGGATGAATTGGACCCTATTGGACAAGGTAAGATGGATGCTATTCACCTCAGGATTGCCAAACACTTTCTGGGGGGAGGCCTTGGCTACGACAACCTACTTAATAAATAGAAACACATCTACTGCCATAGATTTTAAATGCCCAAAAAAGATATGGTCTGTTAGGAAGCCTGATCTTAGCCACCTAAGGTTTTTTGGGTGTACAGCATATGCACACGCAGTAGGAGAGAAACTAGAACCTAGGTTTACTAAATGTGTATTTCTGGGTTACCAAGAAGGGACCAAAGGCTATAGACTATAGGATAGAGAATCACCAAGGGTTAAAATCATTATTAAGTATGGATGTTGTATTTAATGAAGGGGTTTTCCCTTACAAAGCTACTAACCATGATGTAGGCAGTCCCAACATATTTGAAGATCTCATTAACTCCATTGAAATTACACAAATTGAGGTGGAGCCTATGGCACAACAAGTTGATCCACCTTAGCTAAAAGCTCAGCAGCCTCCAGAAGCTGAATCACGACCAAGTGGTCCTAAACAAGAAGATGAAGAACCTGTGGAAGACACACCATAACCCCAACATGATGAACTGCAGCACTACCAACTTGCAAGGGACAGAATTAGAAAAGAGGTAAGGCTCTCTGCTAGATTTTCATAGGCAAAACTAATTTACACTGATTTGCTTGCAAGTACAGAGATTTAGAGATCAAAACCAAACTCATATGAAGAAGCTATGAGGTCCAAGGAGAAGGACAAGTAGACGGTAGCAATGGAAGAGGAAATGAGGTCATTAGAGATAAGCAGAACCTGGTCCTTGGTTCCCAAACTAAAGGACTAGAAACTGATCCAGTGTAAGTGGTTGTTTAAGGTACAAGATGACATTTTAGCTACTGATTCCCCTAGGTACAAAGCTAGGCTAGTTGCCAAGGGGTATACCCAAAGAGAAGGAATAGAGTTCAATGAAGTCTTTTCCCCAGTAGTAAAATATAAGACCATTAGACTAATGTTTTTTATTGTTGCCCACCACAATCTAGAACTAGAACAATTAGATGTGACAACTGCTTTCTTACATGATAACCTAGAACAAGAAATTTATATGTGTTAGCCAATTGGTTTTGTAAATTATAGGGTGCCTAACCATGTTTGCCTTTTACATAAATCCTTACATGGGCTGAACAGTCCCCTAAGCAATGGCATAAGAGGTTTGACACTTTTATTTTAAGCATAGGGTTTACTAGAAGTAGATATGATAGCTACTTTTATTTTGCCTTAAATGAGAATATGCCTATATATCTATTACTATATATGGATGATATGTTGCTGGTTAGTAAGTCTAAGTCTAGAATACATAAACTAAAGAATAAACCCAGGTCTTAATTTGACATGAAAGACTTAAGAAATGCTAAGAAAATCCTAGGAATGGTTATAACCAAAGATACAAAAAAAAAAATGTGAGCCAAAAATCAATCAATACTCATACCTTAAGAAACTGGTAACAAAGTTTGGAATGGCTGATTCCAAACTAGTTTCTATGCCTCTAGTCAACCATTTTGTGATGAGTAAAACCCAATGCCCCAAAACTGAAGCTGAATTAATAAGAATGGAATCTGTCCCATATGCTAATGTAGTTGGATCTGTGATGTATGCTACGATAAGCACTATGCCAGCTTTATCTTTTGCTATTTCTATGCTGAGCAGATTTATGGCTAACCTTGGTAGCGAGCATTAGACTGCTTTAAAGTGTGTTTTAAGGTATATTAATAGTTCACTTGATGTTGGGGTAGAATTCTATAAAAGACATGCTTCACTTGATTTTGTTGGTTTTGTAGATTCAGATTTTGTAGGTGATAAAGACTCAAGAAAATCAACTACATCCTATTATTTCACCCTCAGTGGAAATTGCATAAGTTGGAAGTCTTAGATACAGCTAGTGTTAGCCCTCTCATTGACTGAAGCATACTACATTACCATTGTCGATGTGTTCAAAGAGGCCTTGTAGTTGCAAGGAATATTATATGAAGCAAGTTTGACTGAGGGGAAGATAATCATCTACTCTAACGGCCAAAGCACAATTTATTAAGTAAGAATCAAGTTTATCACGAAAGGACAAAGCACGTAGATGTTCACTTTCATTTTGTGAAGGATCTAGTAACTCAAGGAGTGATTGATTTGAAGAAGGTTGCCACCGAAGACAATCCTGTAGACATGGGCACAAAGACTGTCACTCTTGCCAAGTTCAAGCATTGCTTGGACTTATTGTTTGTGAAGTAGGCAAGGGTGACAAAAGCTATGAGGGACTTGGTTATGAGCTTGATGCACTAAAGGAGTCTCAAGCCTTCGAGGTAGAGATTGTTGAAGTGAAGGGTTGAAACGACACTACATTGGAAAGTAAGTGGAGCATTGTCATTTTGGGGTTTAGCTGAGTTGGATCTAGACCACTGATCCAACACTTATCCAACAGCTAGAAACCTACCTACAAGTCAACGATATAAAAGGAGACAAAAATCAGATTGACACAATTCCTCTTTCGAAGCCTTTCTCTTATTGTATTAGTTGTTCTCTGCTAGGGTTTGCGATTGTGTTATGAAATTTGGTTGTAACTTGTGAGGATCTTGAGTGATTAGGCATTAGTCATTTGGTAAGGGCGTAATTGCCCTTAGTATAGGGATTCCAGGTTTGAGTCTTTCTAGGGTTCAAGTTACGGGTAGTTTCAGATTGAAGAGAAAGATTCTTGTGTGAGTTTTTGTAAGAGTTGTAATTGTTGATACCTTCTTAATATTAGTGCAATGAGCTCTCCCATTTCCAGGGCTCAACGTGGACTTAGCTAGCTCAAACCTTGAGTAAGTGAACCACGGTAAATCTTAGTGTTCTTGTGTGTGATTTGTTGATTTCTATGTGTTTGTAAGTTGTTTGATTCTGGATTGTAGTATAACAAATGGCAACGACTTCTTGCATAAAGACAATGCAATATGTCCATCATCGTCAATCATCGATGAAGACGAATCACGATCGCTATGACAACCCTCCGACACCATGAGCGACATTCGTGGATATCTCCTTGAACTTGTCGTCGCTGTTAGATTCGTCGATCTTGACTGCTACCGTGTGAGGGCTTTGTGGCAGCAAAATTCGGCCGCCACGAGGCCCTCATGCAGCGACTCAAACCCACCGCAAGGGCCAAGCAACCGTGGAGAGAAGGAGAGAAGAAAAAAGAAAGGAAGAAGAATAAGAATAAGAAGAGGAAAAAGAAATGAGTTGACACTTGAAGGGAAAGAAATGAAGGTTTAGAAGATAGAGAAGAAGTGAAAGAAAGGAAGAAGAGAGTGGAAAACAAAATAGAATAATGTGAGGGGCAAAAAAAAAAAAAAAAGTAACTTTAATGTTTTTTATTAAAAATTGAAAGATGAAATTAACTTTTAAGTTGTCACAATTCTGCCCTCACTCATAACTGTTTCTTTACCATCTTGTCCTTTCTTACAACGTTAATTACTAATGGATTTGTGCTTTAGTGGTAAACTTGTATTTTAAAAGTGTAAGGGTGGAAAAGTGTCATTAAGCTATATTTCAGGTGGAAAATGTAGTTAACTCTTTTTTTTTAACAAGGAACTGAAAATATATGAGATTCCTTTGTCTATTTACATAAATAGAATGATATGTTAAATTTGTGATAATAAATAAAGTGCGTGAAGATGTTAAAATACCATTAATATAAATCCCTGTTAACCAAAAGACTTTAAAATTCATTTTTTAATTTAACACTAATTTTTATAAACTAAATAATCAGTTATTTTTATTTATTTAACTCTTAAATAACAAAGCGTGAAGTCAACAAAACGATAAAATGAAATAAAAAAAAATTATTTCTGATCCAGCTCTAGATAAGAAATATACAGAAAATAGTCCAAAAACAAGGTACTGTCTTTTCATTTTCCCACGATTTCTTAGCTACCAAACAAAGCACATGCAGGTACATATATAAGAAGAAACCAACAAGTTCCACTTACCGATCTTGAAGATGAAGCACTAACTTTGAGTTTGAGTGAAACACTTAAACAACTTCTCTTCTTTTTTCTTCTGCTAAATTGGTGAAGATAAATGAATTTTTCGTATAACTTGCGACAAACCCAGATGGAAACTTCAGCTACTGAGTACTATGAAAATACTGAGTAGATTACTACGAAAATTAGATCTGGAAAAATATTTAGTTAACAGAGGAGAAGAATACAAAGATTGGTTCTTGCAAAACTAATAAAACGATGAATTTAAGTTGAATGGTAAAGAATACAAAGATTTTGTATCACAATATATAATTTAATTATAAGTTCAACCATATAAAGACATATCAGCAGCAGTAGCTTCAATTTAATTTGTTACCTGGATGTGTTAAACAATGAAAGACTTGTGCGATTCATCATTATCCTCACACCAATTCTTCTTGTTCCTTCTCTTGCTTATATACTTCTTAACAGGAAACTAACCAAGAATAGGTACATATATAACAGGAAACTAACCAATCTTCTTGAAAGGATGGGACTTGTAGAAGCCAAATTGTATATATATAAGCTTGGAACTCAATTAATTAGAACAGAAAAAGAACTTTTGCTTTTTGCTTTATTCTTCACGGTTTTTAAGCAAAGTATTTATGCCAACTTTAATTGTTCAATTGAAAAACTATTATGATTTCTTTTGTGCTGGCCTAACCTTGCCTGATGCTCTCCATAAGACTATGTTCTGGTGGAACGGCGGAATCTATGTTTTACAGGCTGTTTCTATTGGGCTCATGGGCTTGGGCTGGTTTATGTAGGTCTAACCTAGGGAGGTCTGGCTGAGCCGGGGATTTCGCTATCCCTTTTAAGCCCTTACGAATCAAATCAATTTACAAGGGTTTTTTTTATAGTACAATGTTGCATGAATACATCAATGCATAATTTACTATCAATGCTTTCCGATTGACTCATTCTATATTAGCTATGCTTCGCAACAAGAAATAGCTTCAGCTTAGTTTGTTATATGGATAAGTCAAATAATTAAAGACTTGTGAGCTTGATCAAAATATCCTTCCACCCATTCTTTTCTTCTTTGCTTAACTTTGTAGATGTCTTTAAAAAGAAAATCTCCCTTATAATATAAACATGTAATTTTTCATTTCTTATTAGATATAAGATTAATCATTATAATAATTCATAGATAAAATTTCGATAATACAAATTTGGTATGTTTATGGTTTATAATTTAATGTTCGCAAAAATACTTAAAATATCTTAAACTGTTTTTTTTTTTCTTTTTTTTCTGAATTTTAAACTATTTATACAATTAATTAATTAATCAATGGGATACACACCTAACATATGCCATGGAATGTCTCCCGTGATTCTGGTTAAACTTTCCTTGTAGCTATGAAGTCTATTTCCAGATGAAGCTGCTTCTCTTACAAACTGTCCAAGATCTCTCACTTCATGGCTGTTAAGATCAAACAAGACAGTCTGCATAAATCATTAATTATTTTTCCATAAATCACAAGGGCTCAACACTCCTAAAATAGGTCCATTATTAATTGTTTGATCTAGTAACTTTCTTTTCTCATCCAGATTCCAAAACAGATATCATCCCAATCTAAAACTACCATACTAAGAAGAGCCTCATTATATAATGTCATGTCACATTCTTTATTTGCTACTTCCTACTTTGTTCCCATCTACCTACTTACCCCTAACAAAAAATTTGAAGTTTAGCCATAACAAATAGAATATACTACAGTTATGAGTTTCCACGTCAGAAATTTATAATTAATATGTAAAACAAATATAATAAGCACACGTAAGTTTCATTGGCGACAATCAACAAACAAATATATAATAGACAATATATTACATACCTATCCTCATGCTGATAACAAACATTATTGCACCACTTTTACACCATGATCATCTATTCATGAGTGTATTCTTGGTAGACACTTCATCTGTTCATGACATAGATAGAAGAAATACAATAGTCAGCTGAATTTAAGTAATGACCAAAAGAGTACATGATTCATATTCTATTTAAGAAATAGAAATTATATATAAAACTATTCAATCAATTATCATATCCCTCTTATATTTGAATAGGATAAGGGTCACTTTAAATATACTTAATGATTAACAATATATAGTTAGACTCCTTTCTCTATCAATATTGGACATGACAATGATTGTTAAGCATTCCAAGCTTGAATGTTGAATCCCAAATTCCTTTCACTACCGATGTTGAATGTGACAATGATTATCAAGCATTCCAGGCTTGAATGCTATGGATGCTTGCTTTGTGTGTGTGTGTCTATGAGTGAGTGAGTGAGTGAAGACAGAGATGTACAAAGTTGTCAAAGATTGCAAGCTTGAAAACCTTGGTGGAATAGTTGACCCTTCAAAGCTATTATTGCTCATGTCCCTGTGAATCAGATATTTTTAAGAGGATGCAAATGGACTTTAGTAGAAATAGAATACATTTATCCAAATTACATGAATAAGAGAAGCAAAATGCTGAATTGATGGCAATAATGAATGGCCTTTCAGCACCACATTATGGATAATGCAAACAGATTTATGAACTTCTGTTAACTTACACATAGCTAAGGTTGAGGTTAGGCAAAGGGCCAATCAATTGATTGTAGGAAAATATCTGAAAGAAAGTTGCAAATATTCTTAAGAAGAAACCAATAATGACTTACAGTGTATTACATTGATATCTCATAAGTAAGACTAGAAGTTTTAAGTTGTGAACTTTTCTGCATAATCCACTTGCATTGTAATGATATCTGGGAAGCTAGTCCCACTGAAATTCAAATGTTTATGGCCACAGAAATTGAAACTTATGAGCGAATGTTTGGACTACTCATGATCTGCAAGTTTTGCAGTTGTCTAGTGAAGTGGGGATGCTACCAGTGAAGTTGTTGTCAAAAGGCCTGCTTACAACAATAGTAATTCTCATCTCATCTATCAATGACAGTTTTTTCTGAGTGCATTCTCTACTTTATTCTGCACTCATTGCAGATTATTAAAGCTTATGTCAATTGTGGTTTGTGTCTCCATCATGTTCATTCCTATTTCTCTTTATCATGACAAGCCTACCTGTTCTTAGACTTCTATCAAAACTGAAAAGGGGGGCATATGTTTTAGGGATATAGTAATACATAAAAGCCAATGCTTCTAACATGTTGACTTTTTGAGGGGTCCTACTGGATGTAAGTTCGTTTGAAGTACAGAGGTAAACACAAAAATTGATTGTAGGATACACTTACACCTACTGCATCTACTTATCAAGTAGCCACTAGCCAGTCCAAAAGAACTTACACATGCATCAATCTCATTTCTGAGCTGAAAAGTGAAAGCAAGAGTAGTCCTGTGAGCTGATTTCTTCCAAAATGACTGCAAATTTAATAGAAAAGGTGTTGATTAGTTGTTTTCAGAAAACAGTACTTGCAAATGAAGGAAAATGTGTTATACATACAAGTGCAATGCATTAACTAGTCCATCCAATCTAGGTAAGTTTCATTAAAGACTGGCATTGTTCCATTGAGCTGGTTATCAGTCAAATCCAGCAAAACAAGTTTGGTAAGATCACCAATGGAAGCTGGTATAGGTCCACTGAAGCTATTCGAATTCAAATTTCTGCAGAGAATGTCACTGAAGAGTTTCACAAACAGGACAAGCAATGATCTAAATGTTAGAAATCCTTGCAAGGCAAACCTTCCAATAATAAGAGACCACAAGAACCTGATGAAAAAACAGAAAAGAATACTGAAGTTGAAATCCTTACAAATTGACAAGTTGTGTTAGAGATCCTAATGTGTCTGGAATTAGGCCATGGAAGCTGCAGCTGGTTAGCAATCTGGCAGGCCAGGAAGATCAATAGGTAAATCATATGTTGTACATGAAAGTTAGTGATGCTTTTGCAAAATTAATCTTACAGTACAGGCTCACAAGCTTTGTCAAATTCCCAATTGACGGCAGAATCCTAACAAACCTTTGTTTTGAGATAGATCTCTGTGGTGCAGATGTACTAATCAAAACAATATCATTTGTTATTACATTTTTTCTTTGCAAATGTATGTCCTATCTATACTGATGAAGATTGAACACATCTAGCAATTTTAAGCTGTCAAAATATACTGCCAGATCTATTGATTAAAACTTATATGTCAATATAAATTTGTTATTATTTCTTTGTATCGTGCAAGAGATAAAAGGATGGAGAGAAAACCCACAAAGTCCTTAATTCAGGTGGATTCTGAATATCTGCAGGCAGCTTCCCTCTCAAGCCTATGCCTGATAAAGACTATGAGCTTCATTGAATTTTTTATTCTTGCAATACACATTGATTAAACTATTGTAGCAAATAACATCAAGTTTATACCCCTTTTTCAGTTATAGAAGCAAACAACTCTCTTGCATCCTCAATTCTACCTGCAAAGCAATACACTTGATTAAAATGCTGTAAGTATAAATGTCAGGATCCGCACCTGTTTGGATCATCAGTTCCAACCACCTATTTGCTTCATCCAATTTCCCTTTCTTGCAAGGCTTATCCATGACCACACTAAACATCACCACACAAGGCCGCGCACCTTGATCCATCATCCCAAAGAATAAATTTTTACCCTTTTCCCAATCACCCAGACAACATAAGCCATGAATACGGTATTATAAGTGATTGCATTTGGACTAATTCCTAAACTCTTCATTTCCAAAAACAATAGTCTTGCCTTCTCAAGAATTCATCCTTACAAAGACCATCAATAAAACTATTATAAGTAACAATATTTGTCCTACAAATAACACCAGATTCCTTATTTCCCTAGCCATTTCTTCATGCAACTTAATGGTAACACTGTTTTACACATCCAAAAGCAACCATTTACTAAAACAAATCTGTTAAGGCTCCACAATCTTATTTTTGAGAAATTGGGCTTAAAACCTTTCTTCAAAATCTCCCCAAAAACGGCAAAACCATGAGAAACACTTTTAATATTACAAAGCAATTCATCAAAAATGTTCGACTGGGTTGTCTTCAGATTTTATGTCTTTGAGCATTTTGATGAATTGCTTGTGTAGTATTGAACAAACTTCTTCTTAGTGAGGATACAATTGGAGAAATGAGTTGGGAATTAATCCTGTAATAAAAAAAGTAAAGAGCTTCATTAAGAGTGAAGTTACCTGATCGGGAATTTGGCAAGTGAAGTTGGTTCAGGGGGGTTTTCGAAAGAACGTAAAAGTTCATTCTTGGAGTGAACAAAGATGAAACATTTTACCTTTCAAAGATGGGTTTTGAGTGCACAAAGCCACAAACACTAACGAAATTAGGCTCTGAAAGCCATTAGTTGAAGAGGGTTTTTTTCGGGGCCTGTCAAGGTTTCTGGAGGAAATTTAACTCTCAGGCCATCCCAAGTTTGCATTTAACAAAATGGCCTTGAAATTGTTTTTCATTTTTTTTTAAATTTAGAGAAGGTGATGTGGCATAGTTAGGTTTAATTAAATACGTAAAAGGGGTTAAAATGAAAAGACTAAAACGTATAAGGAAAAATAATAATTAATGAAAGTTTTTAAAATTTGAAATTTGAAAAAGAGCCCCACCCATTCAAATCGCTTAATCGAAACCGACTAAGGCAAAAATTGATTCTTCAAACTGTAAACGCATTCTGCGCAATTTCCTGCGATAACAGTTTCTCATTCCTACAAATTTTCAACCGTAAACACATTCTGCGCAATTTCCGGCGATAACAGTCCACATTCCTACAAATTTTCAAACCCAAATTCAATCCTAAAGCTTCTTCCTTTCTTAAAACAATGGCTGACATTCACAATGACGAAGAAAACCCAACGCCTCTTCGAATCGTAGAGTCCGGCGGCGCAAGCAGTTCAATGGCTGCTCCGGTGAATGTTCCGATCAGTGAAGGTGTTCCAGCAGCGGAGATGACAGCGACACAACAAGAGAGAGAACAGGAGCAAAACGGTTTTGGCGAGGAAGAGGAGGCTGGCCAGAATTCAGGCGAGGAAGAGGAGTCCCGCGAGAGTTCAGATAAGGAGGAGGAGGCCGCCGAAGAAAAGTTATCGGTACTGTCGCTTAAGCGATGTAGGATTGCTTAAGCGATAATGTCCAAAGCATACTGAACATCTGATAAGAACTAAGATCGCTTAAGCGATCATTTGTATCGCTTAAGAGATTGATGGCTTTTACTCTTGGTCGCTTAAGCAATTTAGAATCGCTTAAGCGATATAAATGATCGCTTAAGCGATCTTAGATCTGTCAGATGTTGATTCTGCCTCTTAGAAGATCTCTTAAGCGATCTGTAATCGCTTAAGCGACCTAGAGTAAAAGCGATTCATCCCTTTTACTGTGGGTCGCTTAAGCGATTATAGATCGCTTAACAGTAAAAGCGATGAATCGCTTAAGCGATACTTTGTATTGCTTACGCGATCTAAGATCTGGGCAGATGTTAATTCTGCCTCGTATGGATCGCTTAAGCGATTCTTCGCTTTTACTCTTAGTCGCTTAAGCGATCTTGCACGAGGCAGAATCATCTGCCCATCGCTTAAGCGATTCTTCCGGAGCGTATTTTGTTTATATTTGATTTGGTTAAATTTTTTTGGTGATATTCTATTTATATCGATTTTGCAGATTTTCCAGAGCATAAATTTTAGAGAGTACGGGTTGGAGTGTGTAAGTGATACGGTACCATACTTCCCTGTGCGGGTGACAGTGAGGTCAAGTTGGGATGTTTTAACGAGAATAATGGGGATTTTACGGACACTGAGGAATGGTGAAAGGAGATTCAAAGAGACTTGTTTCAGTCAATTTTGGGATATGGACACAAAATGGAAAAAGACATTCTGGGGGTCGGGAGTGCATTATATGTTGCTGCACTCAATAAAAAGCAAAAAAAAGTACGAAATGTGGTTCGTGGTGGATGGAAAGCGACTACATTTCGGGATGATGGAATATGCGTTGGTGACTGGCTTAAGATGTGGGGAATTGCCAGGTGAGGTTGAGGCAAAAGGAATAAAGGATAGTCCGGCAGCCAAAAGGTTGGCTAACAAGGTTTTGGCGGGGAACACGTCTATTAAGCCACAGGAATTAGAGGAAAGGTTAATAAATGATGAGTTTAACGATTTAGAGACGTTCAAATTGTGCTTGGTTTTGTTTGTACATTCAATCCTAATGGCTGGTGACTCAACAAAAGCCATTGATATTGATTGGGTGACGTTTGTAAGCAACTTGAATTTCTTTAATGCTTATCCGTGGGGACAACTGTCATTTAAGCAAACCATGGAGTCCTTGCAAGCAAAAGAGCTGGCGTCAAAGCACTCCCAATGGACGAAGAAGGGTAGAAATGCCACGTACAATTTGTTTGGCTTCCCGTGGGCAATGCAGGTAAATATTAATAGTTTTTTGTTATATTTTTTTTAATATATGTGTTTGAATTATGATATGGACTGTTTTTTTACAATGTAGGCTTGGAGGTATGAGGTCATCCCTGTCCTGGCTAAGGTAGGGGGGAGGATTAGGTCTTCTTCAGTTGTGCAATAGACATTTCCTAGGATGTTGCGGTGGCAGGACCAGAAGTGTACCCATTAGGATTATAAGCAAATAGAGATTGAAATTCAATCAACTCAGGTAAGATTAAAGGATTAAGCTTTTGAATATGCACTTGCTTTAAAATGTCGCTTAAATCTAATTGATCTTGTTTCTTATTGCAGGGGGTTGTCTGTCCCTTCCTCACAATTACTAGGGGTGAAGCGCAATAGGACTATGTCACATCTTTCCAAGCACTGGAGGATGAAGGGATATACCGCTTGACGCGGGAGCTACAAAGGGTCACACATGTGAGGGCAGTTGCAAGGCCACTGCTTGAGAAAGTGGTTGACACCAAGGAGGATGAAGCAGGAATCGGCGGGAGGGAGGAGGAGGAGGGGAGGGAGGAACAGGTTCGTATGCCTCAGCAAACTAGTACAACAAGTACCGCTTTGCCGAGGTGTGCGGGTCGGGAGAGTGAGGTAGACCTCATAAACAGTTTGTTTGATAGTTTTACAACAGCTGTTTATGGAAGGTTTGATAGGATGGAAGAGCAGTTGAAAATGGTGGAAAAGAAAGTTGTTAGGGTGGAGGAGGAAGTTGGTGGAGTATTGAAGGCGGTTGAAGTGCAACCTAGGCTTAGAAGAGAGAGCCGAAAGAGCAGGTTTGTGAAATCACCTTACACCGTACTAACACATGGAATTAAGAGGAAAACAAAGAAACAAAGTGAGGAAGAAGCCAAAATTGAGGAGGTTAAGGAGGTTGCTGGAGGCAGTGGGGCGGTTATAATGGAGGAGGTTAAGGCGGGAGGCGAAGGAAGCGGGGATGTAGAAATGGAGGAAACGGGAGGAAGCGGGCAAGCAAAAATGGAGTCCACTGTCGATTTGTATAGGCCAATAGAGGAGGAAACGAAAAAACCCTTCTATGCCTATTACAATGAATCCGGAAGTGATGCCCTTGTAAAGTGTAAGACCGGGGATTATTCTCGGGAATGGTTTGGAGAGATTTTGACGATAGGCAGGTTTCACGACTCGGTCAGCTATTTTCGCTTAATTTTCCTTATTTTTGCTTATCTTTTCCATGAGGTATTGTATACTTATCATGTTGTTTTTATTTGATGCAACACATCGATGAGGTACTGGCACTGATGAGGCTGCGACAAACCAACAATGGTGATCTACTGTATCCCGATTGTGCCATCACCGATGTGGCCTTTGGCCAAACGCTGGTATCGACATATCGCAATTTATTGAAAAAGGCCATTGGTGCATCTGTAGCAAAAGGAGCCAAACGAAAACGATCGGGCACAGAAGACTTGGACTGTGTCCCTAATGATTTTAGGTTTGATGACAGGATGATGTAGTATGTAATGGGGGACAGGCCCAAATATGGCCACAGTTGGGCAAAGGTTAAGAGTGTCTACTGCATCATCCTAGTCAAGGAAATGCACTGGATAGCAGTTGTCGCACTCTTAGAGGAGAGGTTGCTGAAGATCTTTGACTACAACCCAACAATTTGTCGAGACAAGCAGTTAGAGGCCGAGTTGGAGCCACTGTCCGTGTTGTTCCCATGACTGTTACGCAACAGCGGGATGTTTGACCACCTCGGTGATGAAGCATTGACGGGAAAGTGGCCACTCAAGCACGTTCCTGTCCCAACAAATGAATCAAGGTAAATTTTGCATAAAACTAACTTACATAATACAATTGTGAAATAAGTTGATTCTAATGCTAATGTGCTCTTCCTATTGCAGTGCTAATTGTGGGGCATATGCCCTGAAATTTATTCAGTTCGACATGACCAACACACCGATGGACGGATTGAATGACGAAACAATGACCATCTTTCGGGAGCGCTGGGCTGTTGAGTGCTTCCATGGGGAAATGGATCCGTTTTGAGTTACCACAACCCAATCAAAAGGTTTGGAACTTAGACTTTGAATTTTGTAGTTTATGTGATGTTCATGTTTATACTTGGGTTGTGGTGCTGATGCTGCAGGTTTAGGGTTATACAGAGCTTTACCGAAATAGACGGACTCAGTGAACTTCTTAATCTTGCACTCCATAACTTAGGTTCGTGATGAGAGAAAATTTTGCAGGTTGCTGGCAAACAATGAGAGGGAACTTCTAAAACTGGCTTGGGCTGTCAGAGTAGGCTGCCTGCAAGGCATCTGCAATCAAGGCTGGTGGCCAGGAGGAGGCATCTGCAATCAAAGCTGCTGGCAAGGCATGGTACCAAACAATGATCTCAGACAGTGATTAAACCGAATTTGAAAGCTTCTCAAAGTAGCGGCATCTGCAAGCAAGGCTGCTGGCAAGGCATGGTACCAAACAATGATCTCTGATAGTGATTATACCGAACTTGAAAGCTTCTCAAAGTAGTTGAGGATTTATTCTGTTTTGACACTATTATGAATGATTTTAAGTTTAAACTTTCAATTCATTGATGCCTCTTACATTTTGATTTGTCATGGATTAGATTGATATAAATGACTTCATTTTGCTGCTTATTCTTTTCGGATTTGGGAGGAAAATGATTCTAGCTCGGAATGTATCACAATCACAGTTATTTCAAAATTACCTCTATAAAGACAGATCATTACATAATTCAGGAGAAATGTAAGATTCTTCTCTTTTTCTCATAATCGATTAAGCGATATATGAGCAACCACATATATCTCTTAAACAACCAACATTTTTCCCCAAATGATTGCTTAAGAGATCTTAACTGGCTTAAGCGACCAAGTTTGAAAAAGA